CCTATCTCAGATTAGCTATAAATTAGGTTCCTTTTTTGGTATTCTTATTTCAAGAGAGCTCTATTAATTGATCTACAAAAAAATTCACATTACTCTATTTATTATAGTTCAAATTGGCCAAATATATTTGCATGCACTTTGATTTTATAAGATGATTGTCAGTTTATATACCTGTTGTCTATTTGTCCATTTGCCCACTCTGTAAACAGTTGCTCCTTTTTATTTGAGCTCAACAATTTTTTCCTCCTTTTTTACATTTTCAGATCACTTAATCAAGGTTCATTTGGGTTATATATTTAACTTCCACCTAGGCTGTCAGCTGGTCAAAATGATGCTAAAATTGGTTAAACAAAATCCCTTGGGGTAAGGAGACATTGGGCCGGACTTCCGTTAATGAATGAGAAAGTGGCCACTTGGTAACTTTAACCAACTCTTCTTCATTAATTAGAGGCCATAATAATCTCCATAGCCCTATGGGAGACACCTCAACTAAAGTTTATACGACTAAGACAATTCATTGTTGCTGATCTGATGATATATTCATGCCTTCAAATATAAAACTGGGATTGTTTATGATGAGAAGTGTTTTCTTTCAGAATCAGACATCTGCCTTTTTCTTAGGCTCTAGCCAGGAGATTCAGGTCAGAGCAACATGAAATCAGAAGTCAAATAATAATTTGTAAACAAAAATTTATGTATGTGCATGTTATAAACACTTAGAGATGCTTAAATAGTGAGCAGTGCAAACAATGTCACAAATTTCTTCAGTGTTCAACTTTTAAAATGCCCATTGTTGATACAAAATAATAGTTCCATTTAATGGTCTATGTTAAGCTTATGGCCTCTACTACACTGTACTGTTATCAGTCTTACACCCATGGTTAATAGATGATAATAGTTTCATTCAATGTTCTATGTTAATCATACTGCCTCTACTCCCCTGTACTGTTATCAATCTTCTGGATGGCCAACAACTAAAACTAAGAGATAATTATAAATTCCTTTTCGATTCCTTTTGCTGGGCTCCACCATATCTTTTCCAATAAAAGGTTATATGATGCATATTGGGGCCATAATTAACTATATTCAACTGGCATTAAATGACACCACAGCTGATCTCTCTCCTGAATAAAAAAGGTAAAGTTAATAAAACAGGCCATCCTCCCAAAACCAGATGGCATTACACAATTGTAAAACCTAAATGTGTATGACAAATGAAGGACATGTCAGTTTCTCAAGTTCCCTGGACTTTATCCTTATCCTCCTTATGGGAGCCATTACTAAAATTATAATCATAAAAACTCTGTTGATTGTATTTTTTCACTCCTACATACTTCCTTGATTATTTGCCTCTGTCTTGTTTAGACTTAAAGCTGTATACCTACCTGAGATAAAAACCAGATGTCTCGTGACTATGGAGGAGACAGATAGATCTCAAGACAAAAGGTTAAACTTGGCCTTAAAATCTCACAAGGAGACCTTCTTAATATGACTTTTCATGTTTTCAACAACAGAGATAAAAATCAAAAGGAAAGGGGCTGGAGATTTAGCTCAGCAGCATAAGCACCTGCCTTGCAAGCAGGCAGTCGTGAGTTCGATCCCCAGTACCGATAAAAATGAAAAAGACGAAAAAAATAATCAAAAGGAAAAATAATTTGATCATTTAGCAAGGACACTTGGAGCTCTGAGACAGGTAAACTGATAAAAGGTGGAGCCAGCCAAGCCCCTCCTGGACCATGCTTCAAGCACAACAAAGAAGGAAATTGGGCAAGAGAGTGCCCCAACTCCTTCATTTCTCTGGGGCTTTGGCCCTACTTCAATCTCAAGGATCATTGGAAGAGCAACTGTCCTAGCTGCAAAAGAGCAGGTAAGCCACCCTCTAACTCCTTGCCCTCATAGGAGATCTCATAACCACCAGATTCATCACTGACTGATCTACTAGGACTTCCTGCTGAAGATTGACAGGGCTTGGGGCCCATAGCCCTCCCTTAAGGTATCCCTTTCAGAGTCCCAAGTCCCACTGAAGGTGTCTGCTAAGACATTCTCTGTGCTTGTGGACATAGAGACCAGGTATGGTGTTCTTCCTGAGTTTTCAGGCTGCTATATTAAGTCCTCAGTCTCTGTCGTGGGTGTTAACAGCCAATCTATGCAGCCTGTGGAGACAGGGACTATTCCATGCAGGTTCCAGACTCCCTTCTTCTCTGGTTGATCCCATAGTTTGAGATACCTCTAATCCCACTTGCACTACCCATGCCACCCCTATTTTAATTCATCTTAGGGATCATCCAATTTTTCCTTGCATTCCCCAATATCTCAGAGCTCGCAAACATTTACAGGGACTTAAACCTATAATCAAGTGCCCTTTAGACAATGGTTTTACTAAACCTACCCATTCACCCCATAATACTCCCATTTTCCTGGTATTTAAGCCTGATGGGTCTTATCATCTAGTGCAGGACCTTGGGGTAATCAATAATGCCATTACCCCAGTCCACCCAATGGTGCCAAACCCTTATACCATGCTCTCTCATATGCCTCCTCGCTCCCTCCACCACTCAATTTACAGTCATAGATCTTTAAAATGTCTATTTTTTTGTTCCTTTGTGTTTATGCAGACTGATCCAGACACTCTCAGGTCTCAACAACTTATACCTGTCATCTCTCCTCAGGAACACATACCACCCCTTTCCTTTCCTATTCGTCAATTTCACAGACACAACCCTGGTCAGGACTGACAGGTAGATTTTACATACTTGCCTTGCCACAAAACTCTCAAATATCTTCTCACCTTTGTTTGTACTTTTTCAGGATGGATAAAAGCCTTTCCCACAACCAGGGAGACTGCTGATGTAGTTACTAAAGTCCTGTTACAGAAAATCATCCCAAGGACTACAACTAAAATAAAGTGGCTCCTACTCAGTCTTCCTCAGAACTTCAAGGGTGGTCAGAGTTGCTAGACTGCCATCCTGGTTCCAAATCACTAAAGCTAAGCGGTGCCCTCCTAACCCTAACTCCCCTGACCCTACACATTCTGAGAGGTCATCTCATCTTTTATCTTCCACACATGTCTATCTCACCAAGACCTCAGAGCCACAACTCTCAGGCTAACTCATGTTTTGTTATCCAATTTGGTTCTTAATCCCTTATATTCTATTAATTAATGATTTTTTACAGCAGACCTCTTAACAGACTTTCCCAAAGACTTCCACATCATACATTAAATCGTCATGTTGCTCTGCATGACAATTTGTCTTAGTTCTCTCTATCCTCAGTTGTTTAGTTAAACATGAAATCACTGTGGGTTTAGGCTTTCAGCTCCTTTATACTGACTGACACAGTCATGGACTTCCCCTCCTCTAATTTCCCAAATATGATTCAATCGGGCTTTATATTTCTCATGCCTCTTATTCTTTCCAGTTCAACTCCTGGACCAGAGAAAAGCTCTACCTACCTACACTTTTAAAATTTACCCTTTCAAATGGGAGAAATAATTACCTCTCATAACTTCATTCCTCCTAACCCCACACTTATTTTTCAGAATTCTACCTTACCATGGTCCTGATGGAACAGCATATTTAAATCAGACACCTTTCCTTCTACCTCTCCTAGGTCCTTAAATATGATAGTGGCCTGCCTCCTCATAGTACCTTGTCTCTGTTTTTCCAGTCTAAGATGCAGACATTCACCAATGATGAAGTTGTCCTGGCTAAAACACCTGGTACCATTGTCCTGTCAACCTTCCTAAACCCCAATACGGTGCCCTCATTCAGCAGGAAATAATAAGAGATTTCACCCTTTTCCTAACAATACAAAGATGAGAATGAAAGGGCCTTGCCCTAGTATAACTTACTGTATAGTTATGGTGGTGATCTAACATGGTAAAAAGCCAAAGCAGGAATGCCTACTTCCTACTTCTTCCTCAGCCTAACTGTAACTCCCCTTCCTGCTTTCACGTGAAGAAAACCCCAATCAGCTCCTCCAGTCCTCGCATGTCAATCAATGACCATCCTAAGCACCAACCAAATATATATATATATATATATATATATATATATATATATATTCAAAACGTTTTGAATTCTAGCATTTTGATGTAGATTTTCTTTGAGGTAGAAAGGAAGATGCATACACACACACACACACACACATACACACACACACACATACCCCATAACCCACGGTCCAGTCAGAGGTGGCTAGACTATCTATGGTCACTGACACCTCTCCATGTCCTTGGAATAAAGGCTGTTTTTTACTTTATATTCTTTTATTGCCGAAAACTTTCAGGTTTGATTGAGAAATTTCCCGCAGCTAGAGGAAAGGAATTAACTCTCCCAAAGCAGTATTTACTATATTCATTTAGCAAGTTAATGTCAGATGACACCTTGTTGCCTAGTAATCTGCATGTATGGCGACCTAAGGGCCTGATGTTTTGAGATCAGGAGTCACTAGTTTCTGTGGCTCATCCTAGGTCATCTTTGTTCTGAAACCCAGCTTGCCTGGCACCCATAGGTGTGGTCAAATTCCAGCTTCAGTGGCTCAGAGAACATAATCCTGAAGAATCCCATGGCTCATAATTGCTTAAGGCTCTTTTTCCCCACAGCAACAGCTTTCAGTTTGTCAAAAACAAAGCAGTGGAAATATTGTTCATAGAACACTGCATAGATTCATAGCATAAAGATTACCAATCTACTATTTAGTACCTAATTCAGAATTCAAGAAAAATCAAAGATTTCTTCTCCAAGCCAAGGTCAAAGGCTGTTACTTAACTAAATGGATTTGTCTGAGAACGCTTCCCACTTTACTGTTTATTTATACTAACATCCTACTCCAGCAATACTCTTTTGCCTCTTGCATTTTTTGTGTGCTCATATCCTTCATAAAAATTATTTCCCCTATCAAGATGATTATAGTGTTTTTTAAAAATAGAAAAAAGGAAAAACAGATATTAGTGTATTAATGAATGAACAACTTAGAAATTGTCACACGGAAACACAAAGTTTTCAAAACAAAATATTTTATTTTACACTGAAAAACAAACTCCCAAATTTATCTAGATGTGGTAAGTAAGTAACTTTACATTCCTTTTTGATGGGCATTTATGCCAAGCAAGATTTTCAAAGCTTGCAAACAGGCAGTACTCAACAGTCTGTATTATACATTAGTTTGCAAGTCCAAAACGTTTTGAATTCTAGCATTTTGATGTAGATTTTCTTTGAGGTAGAAAGGAAGATGCAAAGTCATTTCCTCTACAACTGACTTGTTCCCAGTTTAACATGACAAAAGCTGGTGTTGAGTGCACATTCTTTCATTCTTAATCAATAGTTGCAGAAACTGTTGAAAGGAAGGTTCAGTTAGTTTCTCATTTTTATTTTCCAGTCAGTCAGGAAATCACCACCCCAGTTAAAGAAAGGAATGTGCCTGGGCCCAGATGACAACACCACTAGAAAATTTCACCCCCAGACCTTTTTCAACTTTGTCCACCAGCTACCCTTTGCCATTTATCTATTTCCTTCTCCATTTATAGATGCCATTCTTGGCTTGCCGTGCAAACTACAGTTTAGACAATTTCAATGTATGTATGACCAACAGTGAACAATAAGGTCCTCTTATTTTGGAGTAAAATTCTGATTTTTAAGACTACCTTATGATAGAAGGGTCACACTGATTCAATTAAGACATTCTTATCTAACCCAAGGCTTAGGTGGCAACCATTTGAACAAAATTATTTCTTAGATGAATGTAACAGGTCAGTTCCTCATGTCAACAATGATCAGTTTTTGAACTGCATTCAACTTAGAAAAGCAATCTCAATTTAGACCTTGAGCTAGTAATACTCTTCACACCAATCCAGAAAAAATGAAGTTTGCCCTGGCAGAGGTTTGACCTTTTCCTTCACTCTTCCTCCTGCCCCACCCTCTGTGAGTGATTGCAAAATAGAAAAGATCAAAGCCCAGTCAAGCACGCATTTAGAGGGCATTTTTCCTCGAATTTTTGTCACTTATTTCCAATTTTTATTTTACTATAAATTTTAAGCAAGCTTAGTAAATGTTTCAGCTATTTTCATCCACTGATAATATTTTACCATAACAAGCCCTTAAGTATATTTTAATGGCCAGAACTTTTTTGTATTTTGGTACCGGAGTGTTTGCCAAGCAGGTACTTATGCCGCTGAGATAAATCTCCGGCCCTGCAAGAACATTTCTAAAGTACAAATTGAGCTGTTGTAAGAGAAACCATGCCTCTATCTCAAATCTACTTATGTGCCATCTGAGCATTATTTCTGGGAAAAGCCTACTGAGGTGATGTACACGCACCAGTCTATAAAAAAGAACTAAAAACAGACAAAACTTGTAAATGATTTTTTTTAAATGCACTTCATAACCAGCTCAAGAATGGGTCATTTCCAGAGACTGGGGTTTGAGAACTAGTTGGCCATCATGTTTCTTGCCATCATTAGTCAATAATTTTACATGAGGTGAAGACTAGCAAAAACTTTTCTACTATATTAATGGTTCCAGCAACTTAAGGAACAAGTTCACCTCTAAAGTCAGCAACCTGCTCATCATAGTGGCCAGAATAGAAGATATAAGTAGGAACTAAATTACACAGCACTATTTAGGGACCAAGCTGTTATCATAACCAGAAAACCTCACAAAGAGGAAAGTTTTGGAAGTTCTCTGTGAAGGCATGGAACTTTTCTCTTGTCTCTGGGGCCAGGAAAGGATCTAAGAATCTTATATTCAATAGATACCCAAATACACTTGTAGAATGGATGAATAAATAAATCATTGGTCATGTTCATCCTATAGTCTTAATCCCTGAGCCAATAAACAAGTGATAGTCAGGATCTTTATTTTCTGTCCAGGAATAATACACTGGCTTTACATTATAGATGGTGCTTTTTTAGTCCCTCTCTAAGTCAGACCAGGTGGCTCTTTGAATAATTTCATTTAGTACTTAGCATCATCTTAGCAATACTTCTATGAATGAAAATAGAAACTCCTCTGACTCCCATTATACCAAACATGCCAACAAGGTGGTCTATCTCATCATACCCGTGTCTTACATATTATAGTTGTTTAATACTTTTTCAACTAAGAATTGTCATTTTTCACTGTGTCATATTCCCATCATTAAGCTACAGAGATAAACTGTACTTTGGTTTTGGTTTTAAAATTTGTTCATTCTCCTCAGCATCTAGTAATAGCACTAAGATTTAATAAAATTTTAAAAAACTAAACATGGTAACTGAATACATTTTTTACTGCTCAAGTGTTGTCCTGAATCTGAGTCACAGAATGAGCAAAAGCATTCCAAAACCAGTTGTTTCATCTTGATTCTCCTCAAACCTTTTAACTTTAGGACAGTAAGTGCTTCTTGTGGTTTTCTGGAGCTATAAAAAGTGCCTCCATTTTGTATTGAATGAATATTGCCTTTTTTGATTTTCAATATCCAAGTCAATGGGTCCTCTGGAACAAACCTACTTAATTTATCAAGCTACTTTGAAGAGCCAAATATTATTTAATCAAATTAAAGGTGTTTACTGCCTTCAGCTATGATCAATGATCTTATTCCCTCTATTAGGTCCATTTCACCTAATTTATAGTTAGGACCTAGAAGGCATATCCCACATAAACAAAGCTTTGTATATCAAATAAATTAAAATGATTACCACTTCATAAAGCTCTCTAAGCCAGGCCAAGGGGGTTTTAATTCACCTTGATCAGCAGCACTCAATAAGAAACTGAATGGAAAATCATAACATCTTGATTTTGTATTTTAAATCCACTTTCTCAATCAAGTCAGATGGTAAATAATCTAGAAAAAATTTTATTCCTCCACTTAGCTTAGAATTTATCACCTTTCCATTTCATCAATTCTACTTTCTTCCTGACTTCATCACTGAGTAAGGAAGGAGTGGTGAAGTGGACTTTTGGTCTGGATCTCATATCTACTACTGAATTTCTCTCTTGTGAGTACTCTGTACCCACAGGATGATAATAATAAAATGGATAATAAAAGGATGGTAATAATAAAATCATTTTTATATCCCAAGGTATGCAGTTCTGTATCTCACAGACAGAAATCATGTTCACTGATTAAACCGACAGTTAATGCCAAATTGTATATTTACACACAGACCTGTGTTGCAGGTTTAAAGACAAAAATCAATTTTAGTGCTTTTAGTTACTACCTCTAGGGATAACAGTAAATAATCCCTATTACTCACCAGATATTATTTATAAATGAATGGCAGTTTACAAATTATAAATTCTTTTTACACATAATTTCTACTGCTTTCCAGGAAACAATACGTAATTTATCTTTGCATCCTCAATGCCTATCAAGGACACTGACACAAAATTGATAATCATCCATGCTTGTATTCATTATTGGATGACTTACATATTAATATTGAATGTTCAATAGCTAAAACTTAACAATTTTAGCTTTATTCGCATCATATAACAGCTGTGATACAATTTCATAAACCTAGCATTTAGCACCAAATGAGTAAGTCAATAGTTACATTTATATGGTATATTCAAGTTCACAGAACCTTAAGACATATGTATTGCTTAGTCTTTAGTTTTAGTCTCATTATGTTTTCCAGGCTGGACTCATGTGATCCTGCCTAAATCTCTCAAGTGCTGGAACCAGATGTACATACCAATGCACGAAGCTGGTGTAACTATTTATAGTATCCTTCTCATTGTGAGTCCAGAATACAGTTAAGAATCTTATAGAAAAAATGCCTATATTACAGGAATGTTTTAGTCATACAGAAATATTTAAAATGTCTTTCATAGCACCTTACAGTATATAGAGCACATGTATATTCCCTTATCTTTTCTCTGTCACCAGGGAAAATACACTGGTTATCAATTTAATTTGATTTTGCCAGTAAATTCCTGACTGATTAAACTCAGTAAGTTCTCTTTCCTTATATCTAAATAATACAGAGCATGAGCTTTCCTCTTATTACATGGGAGAATCACTTGGTAGAATTTATCTAGAATTTCATGTATCCAAACAATAGTAGGTATGTATTAAGAGGTAGTTAATATTCATTCATTCATAAACAAGTAAGGAAGTTTTATTTCTATGGTGCTTTAATTCAATATGTACTTTAATATGTGCTTCCCTTCTGAAATTTTTTTTTCCAGGAGAGTATCTGTCACTTTGGTAGTTCTATTGCTTAGCATGATAACTTTCACACTAGAAGTTACCACAATGGCTTAAAATGCTTTATATTTGCAGTATATTTTCCAGTTTAAATCAGTTTTCATATGTTTTATTTTCTGCTAACTGGAATCATCAAAGCATTAGAAACACATTGGCCTCAAATATACAAAATTATTCACTTACTGAACACTTATTATGTCTACAGAGCATTATATTCGTTTTTTATTTATGCTTCTTTTAATCTTCATATCTATAGAGCATAATACAGTAGAAAGTATGTCGTTAAATTCATCAACACTGAAATTCACAAGTTTTTTATGTGTTTTAGTTTATAAAGCACACTCATGTATTTTTCTTCAGATCACCTAGATTTGATCATAAAGCGTCACTGCATCCTACTACCTGGACAGGGATAGGCACCAAGAAGGAAACCTATATCATCTGAAAAGATTCTCTGGCATGGGTAGCAGCCAAACCCACTTAGCTCAGAAACTAAGCGGTTCTTATCTCTTTAAAAGATTAATACTCTGCAACAAAGATCATATAGCCTGCAAAATCTAAAGTATTTAAACTCTGACCCCCTACGGAACAAAATGTGATGATCGCTAATTCAAATATTAGCTGTGCCTTATTGCCAATACTATATTAATGAGCACACCATACTTTTTTTCTTGTTATTTATACTTCATATATATTGTCAATCATTTACATCAACTTCTCTAAATCAACTTGAAACCAAGGAAAAGATTAACCCTGTTACCCAACAGTTTCAGGTTCTCTCATCTTGAAGTCTAGAGATGGGTGTTAAACCCAGGCATAGGTTTGGCACAATGCCTTAATTATTTGACCACTATTATGAGCAGGGAATTCAGATCTCACTCTGTACAAGGCCCAATCACCCTTTCATAACCATTACTAGAAATTAAGAGGAATCCTGTTCACTTAAGCCTAAAGAAGGGTGGTGAGCCAGCTGGTGCTTCTCAGAAGGCTGGAACATCTGTCTACTTGTCTAATTGTTCTCATTATCCTGGAGTATCTCTTCACATTATCTCTAGATAGCTTGGCACTTTCTTCCCTACACAACCTGAGGCTTTTACTCTTTCATCAGCTAGGGCTTCAAGGATAGAAAACACTGAAAAATATTTAAATGGATGCTTGCTTTTGAGTGAAGTAACAAAAGGCTTAATCCATAGCAACTGGATTTTGGTGCCCTTCTCAATTTGAATATATGTGAAGAGAAATGGAAGTCTATAAAACACTAAAGCCTTAATGAATGGCTAAAATCTGTGATGAAAAATGGGCTCAAGATTGGTCATCCATAATGCTGTTAATTTAAAGACACATTCTTTTAAGGTATAAGGCAACAACAAAAAACACATCTCAAAAGAAGCAATATTAGATGGAAATAAGACAAATGGAAGGGGGAAACTAAAATTGTCCAAGAGTAAGAAGTATAACAATAGAAAACAGCTTGGATTTACAGTTCTCATCTTGGAATTTCCCTGTTCTTGGAGTTTCTCCTTCCTGAGTTCTGAGTCACAGTCCTCCAGTTTCCAGTCTTTAGCCTTGAAATCTGTTTTTCTTAGCCCATCTGTCCATGTAGAGAGGCTTGATTTCTGGGTTTTATCTGTATCAAGTTTTCTATCCTTGGCTTTTATGTCTTGAAACCATGCCATTTAGGCTGACTCAGTTCTTAGGCCTTGTGTTAGGTCCCAATTGTTAAACTTTCCATTTGTCCTGCAGAAAGAGCCTTTGTTATCCTAGATCTCTGGCCTTCTAACTCAAGACTTGAACCTTCCATCCAACTGAGGTTACTTTCTATGTAACTGAGGTTACTTTCTATGTATCTTGGCTCTTGAGATTTATAATGGTCTCAGGCCTGTGACTTCCCCCTGTCTTGGAACATGGACTTTTCATGTCCAACCATTTGTCTTCCATTTTGAACCGTCTACCTCTTGCTCCTCTTAGGCTTTGAGTTTCACTTCAGTCCTGATCCGAGGGACGTATTTTAGTGTAAGATCATCTTTACCGGACAGCCTGACACGAGGAACAGCTCTGCAATTCTTGTTTTGATAGCCAACATTCTGCATCTATTGGAAAGGTGCTAGGGAGCTCCTCTGTCACACATAGTGCACACACATACATGTACATATGGCCATAAAAACAAAGCAATATCCAAGAGAGGATTACATGAAAGCAAAGAGCAGACACAGAATCATGAAGAAGCTGAAATATTCAAGTGTAGAAAAGAGAAAAGGAAAAAGCAGAAAAGTAATGTAAGCAATCAGACAGTAATGCTGAAATAGAAAATCACAAACAGCTGAGACACTGATACACAAAGGAGGAAAAGGAAAAGGAGAAAGGAAATGCAGAAAAGAAAAATGTGAGAAAAAGAATAGAAAGAGTAGAAAAGAGGACAGGATCAGAAAAAAAGCTGAAATGTCAAACCAAGAAAAGAGGAAAGTGACGATCACAATTCACAAGGACAAAAAGAAGCAAGGTATGAACAATAAGCAAAGTGCAAGAAAAACACACAACATGTGACCAAAGAGGAGACATAAAAGAGTAAGTAAAAGAAAAGCCAGATCCAGGAGAACAAAGAGAAACAAACAAAATGAGAAAAAAAAAAAAAGAGATATATACATCTAAGACAAGGCACAGGCCATACTTACGAACAAAATGAGAAAAAGACACAAAGAAAATTAACAAGACAAACATGGAAATGAGTAAGAAGACACACTCAAGGTAGAGAAGCACAAAGACATTCAAGGAAGGCATGGACAAGCAGAGAAATACACATTTATGACTAAGATAAGCAAAGTCCAACAGAAAAGAAAAGAAGTAAGAGAAGACAGAGGAGCACAAGGGACACAAAAAGAAAAAAATTGCAGTTAGTAACTATCACAAGTGATTATTTCTACCAATACTACTACTGATAATAAAAATATATAATAACACCAAAAACAACACAGGTGCTCTTCTACTAGTAAACTTTTAGCTTTAGGATTTTTTACACAGAACCAAAACATTTCACCTGTCACCAGAGACTGTCAGCGGTCACTTGTTTTGTGTCTAAGGAACTCCTTGGGTTGCCTTTTATTTGCCATGTATCAGGCACTGCACTAAGCATTTTATACTCACAATTTCATTTAACCCTCATTAACAGACAAATCTAATTAGAAACTTTAAATTCTCAAAAGTCATATCTACCAAGGAGCAAAATGGATTAAAACACAAAATACATGTTTTTTTTAACACTCTGCTACAACTACTTACAAGGATTTCCATAAAAGCCAAATGAGATTTCACAAACGAGTGAATATTTTAATAAAGGGCTTTTATTCAACACTCTCATTTTTTGGTTTTTCTTCCCCTATGCCTTTAAGAAACTAACTTGGCTTTTACCGTCTACACAATTAAATGGCTATTACAAGACCTAGTTTTCTTTTCACACTAAATCTGAACTATAAACAGATTCTCTTACAGATGGAGATGAGAAAGAGCCATGCTTTCAATAGAAAGCAAAACCTATCTTTTAGGCTTTTCAATGTTTAAGCCTATAAGAATAGCAGAGCACTTAATGCAACAAAGATATACAATAGGACAAATAGAGGCTAAATTTCTCTGATATAACTGGTAAGCAGACGGTAGTATCTTTTGAGTTATTTCAGTAAACTCAGTTGGTAATATGGGAGACTAGGGAGGTTAGTCATCTTCCCATCTCATTCATAGCTGGCCCTACTTCATGTTAGACCACCATACTCCATCTAATACCAACTCCAAACAGCTATAGGATTGCAGTATCAACTTACTTCATTCTGCTATTCTAAAATGTTATAGTACTAGGCATGTTCATCTTCAGATAGGAAAGGTGGCTTCCTTTGATGTGTTTACATTTCCTGGTCCTGCTGAAGACCCAGCACTTGCACTACTTTTGGAAAGGATAATGATTTAAAAGATATGAAAGGAATGACAGGAGGTACAAAAAAACAAGAGAGGAAACCATGTAAATGTTATAAAGAAGTACTGAGTACTATGCTATAGTTATAAAAGATTCCAATTAGTGAGCTATTAAACAATGCTTCCATAGAGTATAAGAAAAAAGTTAAAGCTGTTAGGTCCCTAGAGATATAATGAATAAAATTTCCTTTGTCATAATAAAAAAAAATTTTCCTTTGTCAGTAGAACAAGAAACTATGACCTAAATGGGAAAAAGATCATCACTAAAGACTTGATGAGTTACTGAAGGGACAATCACCAGTCAGACTTATACCTTAAATTGAAGACAAATCTTGTTTAAAATATCAACCAGCTGAAGGAGTTCCTTTAAACGATTAATAACTGAGATCACAAAAGTAAACATAAAGGTAAAAAGAGAATAGGGCCTAAAAATTCAATCCAAGTTAGTATTGTTTTTTGATACAGGGTCTCAGTGATTCAGACAGGCCTTGAATTCACTATGTCACCCAGGAAGGCCTCAAACTCAGTGATCCTCCTGCTTTAACTCAGCCTCCAGAGAGCTGGAATTACAGGAACATGTGACACCAACACCTGATTAAGTTAGCTTTCAGCAAATAAAAACTGCTCAGAACCACTGAAAGACAACCATGGAGAGCATTTCCAAAACTGCTATAAATGTTGAGTTGCTAGGAGGAAGTCATTCTCCCAATAATAAAATCTACATAGGGTAATGGTCTTTAAATTCTAAGTACAGGGGGCTAGGGATTTAGCTCAGCGGCATAAGCGCCTGCCTTGCAAGCAGGCAGTCGTGAGTTCGATTCCTGGTACCGATAAAAACGAAAAAGACCAAAGAAAAAAAAAAAAATTCTAAGTACAATAGACAAATTTTCTTAGAAAACTCTTACCTTAACTTTAACTTTTTAGGCTAACAAATTGTTAGTAACTTTCTCAATTTCTAATTCATAGATCTTTCTAGTCAAATATAGCTTTTTTTTTTCTGTCTTTTTGAGACAGAGTCTCGCTATGCAGTCCAGAATGGCCTTGGGCTCACTTTGTAGCCCAGGCTGGTCTCGAACTCGCAACGATCCTCTTGCCTCATCCTCCCAAGTGCTGAGATTACAGGCATGAGCTACCACGCCCAGCTAAATACAGCATATTAAAGGCTCCTTCCCATGAAAATATCTCATGGAATTTATATAGTACTCATTCTTTTTGAAAAGTATTAAGGGAATGCTTACACAGTAAGGATTTACTGCACTGGATAGTGACATTCATCTCCCAACTTTCACTTCCCTCATCAGCTCATCCCATCACTGACCTATAGAATATAAGGCCCTAGTTCTCTCCACAAAAATCTTGAGTTATAACCAGTCTCACATAGGAAGAACAGCATAGATCCTAGTTCAATAGATCTCACCTGATAATAATTGTGTGCTGTGTTTGGTTAGGTTTCCATTTGTAGTAATGAAGCGTCCATTAATCAGCAGGCATAACATAAAAAGACACAATTCTCATTTATCTTTTCAAACAGCTTATTGTGGGTAATATCCCATGGACATCACAAGGAACCTTAAGTTTATAAATGATTGGCAAAGTTCTCCTGTAAAGAGGGCTTCAAAGGAAACTGAGGACCAGGTGAAAGAATGATTTGCTCACGAAATCAGTATTGTTGATGTGGCAGTTGTTGTCCATGTTCTCCTAAAAGATACAACAATTTGAACAATTTAGTAGGATTCCACAACAATTCTACCTTAAACATCCTAACTCATGAAGCCTGCTGCCTTCACACCATCACTTTCACCAGTCTCACTCAATTGCTTTACATCAGGAAGCCGTTTTCATCAAAGCAGACACAATGAAGTACAAGCTTAGTGGAAAACTGAAGTATCTATTACACTGTTAAGGATAGCTTACCCATCTTGATGTATGCTGGCTGTCTTCGCATCTTCATCTTTCTATCTGGGTCTAGGAAAACTAGTAAAACTCCAGACCTAGGGTTTTGCCTAGTGATAGTGAGCTTTTCCCCTGGAGGATCCTCATGCCCCATCTCCACCTAGGGATCATCAAAGGGAATAGGTCACTAGCACGGCAAAGCAACAAGTCTATTCTCCCAAAGAAGATCTGGAAAAAAGAACAACAACAACAAAAAGAATGAATGAATGAATTTTTAAAATCAAGTACACTGGCAAACTATCTCAAAGTATAACCAGTGATTGATCTAACTCATTATCTACACTTTGTATGTATTGAAGAGTGTACCCTCCCTTATTGCTATATTGATCTCTACAAGATGGGATCAAAATACATGATAAATGTTTAGAAATTTTTTTTAATTTATGAAAGGAAAAGGAAGATTATTAATTTTTAAATTAAGATTACTAATGTTTTAATTAAGTTTACTGGTATACTTTAGATGCATATAATGATCATATTTCATTTTTAGAAAGATTACTATTAATCCCCTGGTATTACTCCCCTCACTTTGCCTCACTCATCCCATCTTTCTTGCCACCTTCTGAGGTAGTTCAAAAAGTTCTCTTTCCTGACTATCTTTACAAAGTGTGATAAAAAATATACTGAATTCCAATATTCAATGCCACCCAACAGAAGGGCACAGTTGTAAAAATATGACTATGTGTCCTCATGAGCCTCCTTATTCACCAGATCTGGTACCATGTGACTCCTGGCTCTTCCCTAAAGTTGAAATGACTATGAAAGGAAAATGTCTTAAATCAATTCAGAATATTCCAAAGCATAATTAATGACACTCACAAAAGAAGACTTCGCTATATGCCTCAGAACACAGAAAAAATGATGGAATATAGAACTAGGTATGGTAATGCACAACTGTAATCCCAGCACTCAGGAGGCTGAGGCAGGAGGATCACCAGGGGTTTGAGGTCAGCCTGGACTGTATAGCAAAATTGTCTCAAAAAAAGACAGGAAATCTAATAGCAATAGGGTCTTCAAACTACCTGTTTCTCCAGATGGCCTGCAAGAGTAGCTGAATCTTGTCCAAATTCTCAAAAGGAAAAATCTGAATTTGGAGTCTTGCCTAGCTGTCCATAGTCCTCAGGTTTCACATGCTTAGAATGTCCTTGACAAAAAAGATAATAAAGTTCAGTAAACTACCAAAACTGTTTAAAAAATCCTAACTGGAGATGGAAGGCTATAATATACAACCTGAAGTATTAGACACAGTAAATGTCTCCTGTTTGTACTTTCTAGCCTGTCTGGTTTTCCAATGGTCCTGAGATAACAAAGCACTGGATTAGGCATATGAAGAAAAAGAACTCTATGAAAATATGAGTCAAACATTAAGGGCTGACTAAATCTATAGCTAAAGGCCATCCTATTGCTAGACATACTTTTATACAAGGTAGCAGAGCAGCTGTTTTGACTATTTTTAATAACTGGCTATCTACCTTTATCACAGGACAAGTTTGGTGAAACAGGTCTAAACCCAATCTGCAACCATGTAAACACTTTGGAAAATATGATGTGGAGGATACCAGGATGGTAAACCTTGGAAATCTAAATAAACATAGGGCTGAAGATTTCTCATTAGGGTGACCAATGATATAGGCCTTTATGTTAATATCAAATAAATTAACTAGTATATAGAAGATGAGTTACTCAACTATTGTCTAAATAAATTGTCTTGTAAAATGAAACAGTGCTCTATGATATTCTCAAAATGAGCGAAACAAGTTTTAACATCTCTTGGAAATGTCCTTCCCCATCCTTATACACCTAAGATTAGACAATACACCCTCAAATCCAGGCTTTCAGTTAAGGAAGTTCATACATATGTGTATTTACTCAGCTCCTTCCTGAAACCCCCCATTAATGAGTGGAAATAAACACTCCATGTGCTACCAAACTTACCTAAAGAATTTTTTTCATTTTTTTAGGTAGGATCACTATGTAGCCCACGCTGTCCTCAAATTCAGAGATCCTCCTGCTTCAGCCTCCCACATGCTAGGATTACAGGCATGAGCCAAAACACCCTGCAAAAATTTTTAAATTAGCAGTTCCAAATGCAAATTCATTTATAGACTACTTACGGTATCTAAAAGGAAATAAATATTACACACATACACACCTGATATTCTGACTGCCTCAGTGGATATTCTGACTCCCTCAATGTTATATAAGTTGTAGGTTACTGCAGTGTATAGGTAGGTTATTGCAGTGTATATCTAGACTACCTTGCTATTTTGTTAGGTTGAAGAAGGACTATGGCTGCATTAATGTTAGTGTCAACCCTCTAGTTTTGTCTTATAATGGTAATGACATGCTCAAAGAACATGCCCTTTCCCTTAAAGGGACAGATCTAATTCCAGAGAAAGTGGTTAAATTCTATAAGTGATTCAGAACTACAAATCTAGTGTGCAATATTCATTGACAAGCATTTTAGGATTCCGCTGTCATCTTCCTCTATGTTTCAAGAACTTCTTAATGCATTTGTTTTATTCATTAAAGTTTGTACACCACCATTATGATTTGTTCATTTTTGCATCCTCCATGAGAAAGCAAATTCCTTGGCAGAAATCATGTTTTTGGTTTTGTTAGTTATCCTAATGTCTGGCACAATATTTGAATTAAAACAGGTATCTCAATTTTCAAAATGCGCACAACTTTTTTGACAATTGCCAGATTTTCTCAATTACAGAGATTATTTTATGCAATGAATTAAAATGCAATTCCAAGATTCACCTTAGGATGCTATCTAGCAGTCACCAATTCACCTAAAATCAAGTCATCCTTCCTCTTGAATCAGGGTGCAGAAACCAGCTCCAAATTCATCCTTTTAAAACAAATTCCAATGATAGTTATAGGTGATATTGAATAATAATTTCATGAATAGCAGGAAAGCATTTTTTTTTTAATTTTTTTTAATCAGTACCGGGGATCGAACTCATGACCGCCTGCTTGCAAGGCAGGTGCTTATGCCGCTGAGCTAAATCCCCAGCCCCAAGAAAGCATTTTAATAAACATAGATCACTTTTTCTCAAATTGGGGTGATAAGAATTCTCAGGGTGCAGTGGATATATTGTCATGCATCTCTGAAAGTTCTAGATAAGGTATGTAAATCATGTCTTTGACAAAGATAACTTAAAATTTGAAAACTTGTTTATACTTAACTCTCTTAAATCAGCAATCCACAAAACACATACTCTTTAAGACCTCAGAAAACTGTTTCTTTAAAAGGTACTTCATTCTGAAACACAGCTAGAGCTAGAGGTAGAGAAATAATGCCACAGACCACATTCCAAAAAGATTCAAGGCAAACATATATTTCCTTTGGCTAGTCAGACAATAGTGTTAGGCTTTGGGGGTGGGGCAAGCTTTTAGAAACTGTGGACATTGAAAGGGGCAGTAAAAGAAGCCCAATTTATTTATATGGTTCTCTTGTTGCTCCTGCTAGAATGTATAGATGTGCAACAAAAGAAGTTCAAATTTTATGTGAAAGAGCATTTTTCCTCAATTTGGATATCTGTTTGATTTATATCAACGACAAACTTGTTTTAGCTTGCCGTGGTACCTGTTGAAAGAGGGGAAGGGAAAAAGGTATAAAACAAACTATAATATAAAGTAAACAAGATCAAGACTTATAAAACTTGTATTTTTCCACTGCCCTCTTGGCCAAGATTTCAGATTAAAACGTATCTGATTTGGATTATCCAGCCATCTCTTCTTGGGCAAAAATACAATAAAATGGTGCAGTCAAAATATCAAAATTATATACCCAAGTCCTAGACTTTAAAAAGCTTAAGCATGAGTTAATGATTACCTATTTGCCAGCCTTGACACACAGCTAAACTCAATGGCTAGGCTCTATGTCCTTTTAATATCTTTCCATGTCTCCAGGCTTTTAAAAAGACATTAAAATAAATCAACTGGACCATCTAATGGCTACAGTTTTAATCACATCCTGGCTCAAAGAGAAAACAGAAACTCCTGTCAGCTGCGCATGGTGATGCACACCTGTAATCCCAGCACTCAGGAAGCTGAGACAAGAGGATTACTGAGTGAGGCCAGCCAGGTCTACAAAGTGAGCTCAAGGCCAGCCTGAGTTGAATAGTGAAACTCTGTCTCAAAAAGACATAAATAAATAAAAATAAATAAATAAATAAACTTACTCTATTAACTGCAAACCTTAGGATCTCCCTTTTAGAAACTCTATAACTTCCAGGCATGGTGTTACATGCCTGTAATCCCACTATTCAGAAGGCTGAGGTAGGAAGATCACTGAGTTTGAGGTCAGCCTGGGCTACATAGTAAGTTCAAGGCCAGCCTAGATTACATAGTAGACCTTGTCTCAAAGCCCCCCCCCCAAAAAAAAACACCCTTCTAGTACTTATAATTCATTCAAGGTAATACTTGATCACCATTTCCCAGAGTTATTGCAAGTGTGTTTGTATTAGCTCTTCAACAATACAACCATCCCAGGAATGAAGTTACATAAAAATATGATTTCTAACTTTCATTTCAGGTTAACCTAGCATAGAGCTTGGTACACAATATTTAATTCTATAAAATTGCTGGTTAACATATATATGAATTATGTATTATGTATGTATATATTGCAGATAATTTGAGAAGAAGCAAAGAAACTTGCTAAAACCTGAGTTTTCAATGGGTACCATCTAAGAGAAAAAGATCAGTTAATAGCTACAAAATGGTACTTACCGTATTCTAAAAAGTCAGCAACTCTTCTTATAGCTGTTCAAGTAGCTAGTAGTGCAAATTGCACCCCAAGCTGAGAAGATCTTTTGATGTCCTTCTTGAGGAATAGTATTCTTTCTCAATGACTATAAAGAATGTCTGTTGTGTGTCTGTTCTTGAGGAATAGTATCTTTTCTCAATGACTATAAAAGAATGTCTGTTGTGACCAGTTATTTGATTTCATCTGTTTCATTCTAAATACTGAATTGCCACCAAATACCTTACAGCAGTGATGGTGAACCTTTTAAAGCTTTCAATGATAACAATAGGCTGTGGCAAGTGTGCCATAAGTTTGCCATCACTGTCTCAGACACTTAGAGGATGGGATACTTTCTCTTTTTTACTTACTAAGCATGTATTACACTTGTTAAAAGTTTATGCTTAGTAGAATGATTAGATCTTGACTCATTTGTCTTAAAATGGAGAAACAGCTCCCATCATTTTAGAGTAAGTCTTTACTTTAGGTTAGTTCTGCAAAATACTTCAAATTATTAGCAGAATTAAATGGTGCATTTTATATAATAGATTAATCAAATAAGGTGCCTTATAGTTTTTAAAAGCATCTCAGTGTATGTTCTCTCATTTAATCCATTTACAGCAATCTTCTTGAATTAAGGACTAATGCTGAATATGAAGATATTTAAGGATGAAAAATTGAGATAATTTTCCTAAAAGTGAACCATGGTAAAGCCCAAAGAAAAATCGGTTCTTACATTGTAGTACAGCCCCAACAAACATTCTGGTGCTAAAAGTTTCACTCGAGAATTCCTGTAGTAATACAATACTAAGATAGTAAGATTCATATTGATCTAACCCAGTAAAATGAGACAACAGATTTTTTTTGGCTCCAATAAAAGCTAGTGAACAGGTAATCAATTCCACTTTTTATTCCAAATGTCCTTCTCTAAAAATAAAAACAAGAGCAAATTTTCTGGTTGTAACCTGGCCACTAGCACTATACAACAGCAACACACAAAGGACAAGACTTGGGATTCCTAAGGAGGTAATTTGCTCTGAGAGGAAAAATGCAGATAAAGTGCTAATTTTCCTGCTTGGGGAGTTTTTCAGTTGATACTGTATACTGAAAACCTGAAAACCACAACTAGAAGGTGGCAAAATCCAGTGCTTTAAGCATCACTTGACTTGAATTTTTTCCACAATAAAACAGTAACAGGGGTCAGCAGGAATCGTTCCTGCCCCCAGAATATGCCAATAATTGTAACTGAGATAATTAACAAATAGAATAAAGAGTGAAGGCTCACCCAACCTAGGTCAGGCCTGCTTTTAATAATTAAGACTGCACCAACACATCAAATTATAGGGAGATCTGGGACTGATGGGGTAAAAAAATGGAACAATATATACTATTTTCACTAATCACACACAAGGGCTTTGAGTAACTGGCTCTACTCAGAAGAAATATAAAGAAGTGGAGAACTACATGTATAATGGGCAGGACCAAGGAAGATATAGCTGAGACATTACAGCCATACCAAGTGGGTAAACCAGTAACATGTGGGATTATTAAACTTAGTAAGGCCAAGGGAAAGGTACTTGCCCAGTCAGTATTATCCAGCAAAGAGGCAAAAGAGGCAGGGTATTCTGCTGCTTTAAGGGAAAAGGAGAGGGATATAATCATATCTATGGCCAGATTATGAGCATTTATAATAGTCCATAAGAAGGAATACAAGGCAGACAAAGGGCCAGGAGAGGGAAGACCTTGTATAAATGGTGAGACCATGGCTACTTGGGATTTTATATACCAAAACAAGGGGTATGAAACTATGCATGACTGTTTAATGCATAAGTACATGGCATACTGCAATGTTTGTACTTTATTAATGCCATGGGAAACTGGAGAGAATTGTTTAATAGGGCCAGGAAAGAAAAATAACAATTTATGATTGCCATTGTACCTATTGACAGTCCCAAGATAATTTTAGGAGAAAAAAAATACATTAATAATTGCCATTGTGCCGTTATCAGTCTCAAGAAATGTTTTGGGTGGTCAGCAGCTCCTACAGTAAAGCAAAGAGGGGTAATAAGGATATAGTAACCTAGGCGTGTGTAACTGAGAATATTCACACTAACAATCCAAGAGGTCTTAATTGATCAACACCTCTGATGCATGCAGAGGGCCCAGGTTCCTATCTAATGATCAGTGCTCAGGATAATTATAGTTGCTTATTGTTGTACACTAATTGTTCAAGGGCAGCAGTTATAAATAGCACTCCTTAGCAGTCATCAAGAGGCAGAAATTCTAACATGTCCCTTTTTTACTACACAAATCCTCAAAGGTAGTTAAGCATGTTACTATTCACATGAGAAAGTTTGCTCATCATTAACATGCCCTTGATGCAAAGAGGGTATAAGATAAAAATTCTAGTCCAAAAAAGGGAGGGACAATTATATTAATAATGCACACTGAAGCCCAACAGAAAAGATACTAGAAGAAAGCATCTCTCTCTGCTTTAAAGCAAAGGTACAAGAGTTTTGATATAATACATGCTTAGAAAATGTGTCTGTACATGAATTTTTCAAGTGCAAGACTCTTGAGTAGTGGGCACTTTCTGCTGAAAACACTAAGAAAATAGGTGGGGTCATTTTCTAGTGAACAATACAAGAACAAATGCAATTATATATATTAAAAGCCTAAAATCAGGACTTTGGTTATCAACATTATGCTGTAAACCAAACAAAATGTGGAGGTTATTATTTCCCTGACAAAGACAAAAGAAGATTTCAATTGTATATACCCGCTGCAATAGTGCAAAGGAGGTACAATGGTCCTAGAAATAACAGAGTTGTGGACAACTGCAATAATTGCACATTACTTGTCCAAAAGTAAAAGTCTTAAAAAGTAAGCACCACTGCTCATATAAAAAACAGAAGTCAAGCAATGGAGTGTTCTTGTCTCCCTGACTGATGAAACTGCAAGTAACAGGTCACAAAAAAGGGACTTCGAAGTAAGAAACTTTGGTATGCTACAAATGAAGGGCAAGAGGGAAGTACTAGCTACATAGATGAACTATGTCCTGATGATATGTATTACTGTCCCAGAGACATAGCTGCGACAAATAAAATTGCATATTTTGCACAAGTATAATGATCTTATAACAGCGGGCACTATCATTTGAAAAGTAAAAGGGGGGGATAGAGTACCCTTATCCAGTAACTAAAAACATGAAAAAAAAAAACAAAACAAAAAACAAGGAAAGAGGCTTTAGGGACAGCATTCCTGCTCTGTTGCAAAGGGCTTGAGAATAAGATCTTATCTACTCAAATGGAATGAGCCACATGCAGTTATAAACATTAATGTCCTAAATGCATGGTTGTGGCCATTACAGCTGTGCATCTGGACTATTTAAATCTAAGGGTTACTGAGCCCTCATCTTGCTAGAAGTCAGGGGAAGAGGAAGCAAGGGAAGAGGGTCACTGTCTAGTACACAGAAACCTAGACAAATATAATCATCAAAATAATATGCCAAATAGGGGTGGACAGTTATATTAATGAATCCTTGCTTTACTGAAAAAGGCATCTGGAAAGAAAGATCTTGTTCAAGTGAGATTAACCATGTGCAATTATACACATTAATTTTCAATATATATAGTTGTGGTTATTGTAACTGTGCACTTTGATGGTTTAAGTATAATGTTTTATGGAACTCATCTCTGAAGTTGGAAAACGGATCAGAGCACAAGCTTCCTTGTATAGTACACAACAACCTGGACAAGTTTAAAGGACTACATAAGCCAAGAATACGGGCATTAGTGATCAACACTGCTGCACAGCAAAAGGCTTGCCTGAGGGAAGCATTTTACTCAAATAGGATGAACCAGGTGCAGCTATGTACATTAGTATTGAAGGTTTATGACTATGATCATTATAAATGGTCACCTTTATTATTCAAATATAAGTCTTATGGACTGGGCAGTCCTACTCAGAAAGGAAAAGATGGATGGGAGAGGGCAGGGTGGAGTTGAGAGGGTTCTTTGTCGAATACACAGGAATTCAAATGAACATAAATGCCCGCATAACAGACCAACAGGAGCCTTAATAATCAGCATCTCTGTTGTATTGCAAAAGGGGCTGAGAGTAGGATCTTATTCAAATGGGATGAATCATGAACAGTTATACACCTTAGTATTTAAGGTACATGACTCTGGTCATTATAGTTATGTACCTTGACTGTGCCAGTGTAAGAGTCCTATAAAGTAGGCTGGAGGAAGGCAGGGGAGAACTTGAAGGGAGGTCCTTGTCTAGTACACATGGGAAATCAAACACAACCCATGTAACAGGCGGAGAATAGGGGCCTTAGTGATTAACATGTCTGCTGCATTGGAAAAGAGACTGCAAGAAAGATCATATTCAAATGGGATGAACCATATGCAGTTACACACATTAGTATTCCAGGTATATAGCTGTCATAATTAGAACTGTGCACCTTTACTATTCATTGTAAGGGTTTCATATAAGCAGTTTTTGCTGGAAGGGAAAGGAAGTTGGATGGGGGAGGCAAAAGTTCCTTATTTAGTACATAGGAACTCTGACAAATATAATCACTGATATAATGGGCCAAGATTAATGCCCTTAATAATCAGCACGCCTGGCGTATCAGGAGGGTGAAAGTAGGCTCGTTTTCAAATGGGATAAACCACAGGCTGTAAGGCACATGAGGAAACAACATGCACAGTTGTGGTTATTACAATTATACATTTTGCCTGTTCAACTGTAACGCAGTAATCCCTGCTAGAAGAGAACATTAGCTGAAGCGGGGGAAGAGAGAGCAGGGCTGAGGAGGAAAGTTTCTTGTCTGATACACAGGAATTCAGACAAACATAATCAACATACAATAGGCCAAGATCAGCAACCTTAGCAAACAATCAATACATCTGCTGTATTCCAGCAGGGGCTGAGAGTAAGATCTTATTACAAATTACATGCAATTACAAAAGTTAAGTGTGCCAGGTGCTTGACTTTGATCGTTATAATTATGCACATTGACTGGCAAAGTATAAAGGTCTTATGGAATAGACAGATCCCAGTAAAAGGGAAGGGAAGTTGGATGGGAGAAGGCAGGAAAGAGTTATGAAGGAATGTTCCTGTCTGATGCACAGAAACTCAGAAAAATATAATCACCAACATAAAAGGCCAAAAATAAAGATTTCAGTAGTCAGCACCCGTGTTATATGGCAACAACGGGCTAAAAACAGGATCTCATTCAAATAAGATGATCCACATATAGTCATGCACATGAGTATTCAAGACACATGATTTTAGTGCTTACTATTGTGCTCTTTTACTGGCCAACTGTAAGAGTCTTATGGAGTAAGGAATCCCTTTTGAAAGAGAAAGAAAGTTGGATAAAGGAAGGAACAGAAGAGTTGGGGAGAGGGTCTACTATACAGGAACTGAGACAGACCCAATCACCCATAAAACAGGCCAATACTACATACAGGTTTATAATCCTTAACCCTGCTATCTGACAAACAGGGCTGACAGTAGGACTTTATTCAAATGAGGCCTAGAGGGACAATTCCTTGTGTAGCACACAGGAACTCAGACAAACATAATGACCCATACTAACAGGCCAAGATTAGAGCCAAGTGATCAGTACCTTAGCTGTACTGTAAAAGGAACTAATACTTTCTTTCTCCAAATACATGAGGCATGGCCAGTTATGTGCATTAGTATTCAAGGTACACGGTTTGGGTCATTACAATTGTGCACCCTGATGGATCAAACATAAAGGTCCTATGCATGGGTAGCCCCTGTTAGAAAAGGAAGATACATAGGGGAGTGCAGGGCAGGTTTGGGGGGTGGCTAGGTTCCTTGTCTAGTACACAGGAACTCAAACACAATCACCCATGTAACAGGCCATGATTAGGGGCCGTGGTGATCAGCATCCCTGCAGTACTGCAAAAGGGGATGACAATAGCATCTTATTCCAAAGAGATGAGCCATGTGCAGTTACGCACATTATCATATATTAACATTCAAGGTGCGTAGTTTGGATCATTACCATTGTGCACCTTGATAGATTAAGTATACAAGTCGTAAGACTGGGCAGTGTCTGTTAGAAATGAAGGAAGATGGACAGGGGAGGGAAGGGTACGGTTTGGGGGTGGGAAGGTTCCTTGTCTATTATCTACATAACAGGCCAAGATTAGAGGCCTTAGTGATTAGTACCCCTGCTGTATTGCAAAAGGGGCTGAGAACAGGATATTCTTCCAGTGAGATGACTTTGTGCAGTTACACACATTAGCATACAGGGTTTATGGCTTTGGTCCTTCCATTTGTTTGTACCCCTTGATGGGTTAAGTGGAAAGGTCTTACGAGTGGGCAGTCCCTGTTAGAAGGGAAAGAAGGTTGGATGAGACAGAGCAAAGAGGGGTTGGTATAAAAGCTTCTTTCTCTAGTATTAAGGAACTCAGACAAACACAATGACCCATTTAATAGGCCAAGATTAGGGCCTCAGAGATCAGTACCCCTGCTGCACTGCAAGAGGGGCAGAGCACAGGATCTTATCCCAGTGATATAAGGCATGTTAAGTTATGCACATTAGTATTCAAGGTACACGGTTTGGGTCATTACAATTGTGCACCCTGATGGATCAAGCATAAAGGTCCTATGCATGGGTAGCCCCTGTTAGAAAAGGAAGATGGATAAAGGAGTGCAGGACAGGGTTGGGGGGTGGGGAGGTTCCTCATCTAGTACACAAAAACTCAGACACAGTCACCCATGTAAAAGGCCAAGATTAGGAGCCTTAGTTATCAGTACCCCTGCTGTACTGCAAAAGGGCTAAAAATAGTATCTTATAGCAGTAATATGAACCACATGCAGCTACGCATGTTACCATTTAAGGTGCATAGTCTTGGTCCTTACAGTTGTGCCCCTTGATAAGTATAAAGGTCTTATGAGTGGGCAGTCCCTGTTAGAAAAGAAAGAAAGAAAGATGGATGGGGGAGGGGAGAGATGGGGAGGGAAGAGCAGGGTTAGAGAGTGGGAAGATTCTTTGTCTAGTACTTAGGAACTCAGACAAACACAATCAACCATATAACAGGCCAAGATCAGAGCCATAGTCATTAATTCCTCTGCTATACTGCCAAGGGGACTGTGAATAGGATCTAATTCCAATCAGAGGAACCACATGCGGTTACATACATTAGCATACATTAGCAAAGGTGTGCCCCTTGATGGGTTAAGTATAAAGGTCTTAGGAGTGGGCTGACCCTCTTGGAAGGGAAAGGAAATTGATGAGGGAGAGCAGGTTGGGGTTGGAAATGATGGTTCCTTGTCTAGTACACAGGAACTCAGACAAACACAATCACCCACATAATAGACTAGGATTAGGGGCCTTAGTGATTGGTACCTCTGCTGTACTGCAAAAGTGGCTGAGAACAAGTTCTTATTCCAATGACACAAGGCATGTCCAGTTATGCACATTAGTATTCAAGTTCCATGGTTTGGGTCATTACAGTTGTGTACCTTGATGGGTTAAGCGTAAAGGTCTTATGATTGGGCAGTCCCTGCTAGAAAGGAAAGAAAGATGGATGGGAAGGGCAAGCAAGGCAGGCTTGGAGGTTGAGGAAGGTTCCTTGTCTAGTACACAGGAACTTAAACACACTCACATACGTAACAGGCCACAATTAGGGGCCTTCATGATTAGCACCTTTGCTATACTGCATAAATTCTGACAGTTGGATCTTATTCCAATGAGATGAGTCACAATCAGTTATGCATATTAGCATTTAAGGTATATGGTTATGGTCTTAACAGTTGTGCTCCTCAATGTGGACAAGTACAAGAGTCTTATGAGTGACCAGTCCCTGTTGGAAGGGAAAGGAAGTTTCATGAGACAGAGCAGGGCAAGGCTGATAAGGCAGGTTCCTTATCTAGTACTTATAAATTCAGACAAACGCAAGGACCCATATAATATAAGGCCAAAATTAGGTCCATAGTGATCAGTAACCCTGCTGTATTGCAAAAAAAAAAAGGGACTGTTAATAGGTTCTTATTCAAATGACATAAGCCTTGTGCAGTAATGCACTTTAGTATTCTTATTCAAATGACATAAGCCTTGTGCAGTAATGCACTTTAGTATTCATGGTGCATGGTTTTGTTCATTACAGTTGTGCACCTTGATGGGCTATGTGTAAGGGTCTTACCTGTAGGCACAGTCCCTGTACTAAGGGAAACAAAGATAGATAGGGCAAGGCAAGATTGGTAGGTGGGAAGGCTCCTTGACTAGTACACAGGAACCCAGACAAACATAGGCCAAGATAAGGGCCATAACGATCAGTATCCTTGCTGTACTCCAAAAGGGACTGATAGGATCTTATTCCAGTAAGATGAGCCATGTGCAGTTATGCACATTAATATTCAAGGTACATGGTTTTGGTCATTACAGTTGTGTACCTTGATGGGTCAAGTGTAAGGGTCTTATGATTGTGCTGTCCCATTTGAAGGGAAAGGAAAAGAGATAGAGGAGGGCAGGACAGGGTTAGGCAGTGCGAGAATTCCTTGACTGGTACACAGGAACTCAGAGTTACCTATATGACAGGCGAAGTTTAGGGCGTTAGTGATCAGTAGCTTTGCTGCACTGCTAAAGGGGCTAAGAATAGGATTTTATTACAATGAGGTAAGCCATGTACAGTTATATATATTGGTAATCAAGGTACATGGTTTTGGTTGGTCATTACAACTATGCACCTTGACGCATCAAATGTAAGGGGTTTTATGAGTGGGCAGTCCCTGTTGGAAAGGAAGATAGATAAGGGAGGGCAGAGAAGGGTTGAGGGTGGGAAGGTTACTTGTCTAGTACACAGGAACTCAACACAATCATACTCATCCATATAACAGGCCAAGGTTACGGCCTTAGTAATCAGTACTCCTGTTTGTACTGCAAAGGGGGCTAAGTGCAGTTATACACATTAGCATTCATGATGCATGCTTCTGGTCATTATAGCTGTGCACCTTGATGGGTTAAATGTTAGGGTCTTATTGTGGGTGGTCCCTGTTGGAAAGGAATGGAAGATGGATAGGAGAGGGGAGGGTGGGATACAGAGGTGTATGACGTGTTTGACAGTTTGTTTGTCTAGTACACAGGAACTCAGACAAACACAATCACCCATATAACTAGCTAAGATTAAGGGCCTTCCCGATCAGCACCTCTGCTATACTGCAGAAATTCTGCCAGTAGGATTTCATTCCAATGAGATGAGCCATGTGCAGTCATGCACGTTACAATTTAAGGTGCATGATTTTGATCATTATATTTGTGCCCTTTGATGGGTCAAATACAAGAGACTTACCAGTGGGCACTCCCTGTTCTAAGGCAAAGCAAGTTAGATAAGGGAGAGCAAAGTAGGGTTGTGGGGAAAGTCCTTTGTCTAGCACATAGGAACTCAGACAAACAGTCTCCCACATAAGAGGCCAAGATTAGGGACACAGTTATCAGCACCCATGCTGTACTACAAAAGGTGTTGAGACTAGGTTCTTATTCCAATGAGATGAGCCATGTGCAATAATGTACATTAGTATTCAAGGTGCATGGCTTTGATCATTATAATTGTGCCCCTTGAGGTGTCTGTTCACTATAAGGGTTTTATGTATGGGCAGTCCCTATTGAAAGGGAAAGGAAGAGTGAAAGGGGAGGACAAGGCAGAGTTGGAGGGTGGGAAGTTTTCTTCATTAGTACATAGGAACCCAGACAAATATTATCACCAATATATAAGACCAAGGCTAGGGCCTTAGTGATCAGTACCCCTGGTGTACTGCAAAATAGGCTGAGAGTAGGATCTTATTCCAATGAAATGAGTCCTGTGTAGTAAGGTACATTCATATCAAGGTTCAGGGTTGTAGTCATTACAATTATTCACCCTGACTTTTCAAGTACAAGGGTCACATTGACTTAGGGATTCGATGCTAGAAGGGAATGAATGAAGACACAGAAAGGAAGGTAGGGTTTGGGCTGGGGTTGTCTAGAACATAAGAAGTCAATCACCACATAACAGGACAAAAATAGTAGCCTTAGTGATCAGCACCCCTCCTGTATTAAAAAAGCAGATAAAAATAGGATCTTATTCAAATAGTGATTCATGTGCAAGTATGCACATTAACATTCCATGTGCGTGGTTGTGGTTATTACAACTGTGCACTCTGAATGTGCAATTTTAAAGTTCTTATGGAATAGGAAGTCCCTGTTGGTCAGGAAAGGAAGACAAACAGGGGAGACTGAGGGCAAGCGATGTGCTGAAGGAAAGGTTCCTTGTCTAGTACATAGAAATTCAGACAAAGATAATTACTCATATAAGAAACCAAGAAATAGGAACCTTAGTGATCAGCATCCCTGCTGCAATGCAAAAGGAGCTGAGTGGAGGATCTCATTCAAATGGAATGAGCTATATACATTAGTATTCAAGGTGCATAGACACAGTCAGTACAGCTGTATAATTTAGCTGTGTAACTGCAATGGTTTTATAGCATAACCACTTGCAAAGGAAAGGAGATAGACAGGGTAGGCTTTGGGGTAGTTCCTTGTCTAATATACAGGAACCTAAATAAATAAAATCACCTGTATAATAGGCCAATAACAGAAGTCCTATTAATAAGCACCACTGCTGTAATGTAAAGTGAGTGTTAGGGCAGAATCTTATTCAAATGATGAGCCATGTGAAGTCATGAATACTAGTATTCAAGGTGTATGGTTATCATTACAATGCGGAACCCAAATTTTCAAATGTAAAGGTCTTTCCTAGTGGGCAGTTCCTGCTGGAAGGAAAAGGCAGGCGGATGGGAGGTGGGTTCCTTTCCTAATGCAAAGAATTCCATACAAATACACTCCCAGGCTCCAAAATGGGGATGTAGGACACCCTGCTGTACTTCAAACAAAGCATCAAAGGGAAAGACCTTAACTGCCATTATGCACATAAAAAGCTGAAGAAAAGAGCATTAGGCAAATACCACCTCACACAGTGAGTTTAAGAAGATATAAAAGGGGTCAAGGGCAAAAGTCGAGCTTGAAGGACCAGTGAGGACTGCAATTATGTACTATTTAGAGTCTTAAGAGCAGGGCTTTATGTTAGTTAGCTTTCTGCGCTTTGATAAATACTAGAGTTCTGACCTAAAAGGCACAATTTTGGACAATTCAGAGCTTGTACAGAAAAACTAAGATTGTGCACATTGACCTTACTAATTTAAAAGTCTGAAGTAGTAGCCTCTTCCTGCTGGAATATAAATAGAGCAATGAGGTTCTCAATTGGTTGACACAACTGGAGTAAATTTAAATATGCACGGTCGGAGTGTGAATCTTAACTAGTGAAAAGTCTTTGTGGTAATGCAAATAGAGATAGGAAATGGGGTTTTTACTCTAATATAAAAGGGCTTAAACTGCTTCTAATCAAGTGCATTTCAGCGCTGAAGAAGTGCCTCCTGCTGTTATGCAAAGAAGTATAGAGGGCTGGATAGGACAACTTTTCTCAACAACTCAGTCGACAGAAGGAATTCAGGTAAGTGCTATGCCTTTCTATAATCAGAAAAATCAGGATATTGACTTATTGGATGGAATTATAGACAACTGAAAATACCTAAGAATCCCGAGAAGGACTTTGGGTTGTTAGCATTACTTGCTTTAATACAAAAAGGGTGGGATATTATTATTATTATTACTTTTTTAAAAAGAGGAACTATGAATATTGAAATTTTACGCATTCATAGCCCCAAGAAGGTAATGATGTAGCTGATTAACACCCCTTGCTGTAATAATTTGGCCAAATGATTCACGTTAAGTATCCTATGTAGAAGTCTGGAGTAGAGATTATCTACTGCTCAGTACCAGACAAAGTAAGACTAAGGATATCAGGACTCAGAAGGCGGCCAAATGCAATTATGCACATTAATGGTACAAAAGGAGTCTTAGTGCTCACCACCCTCAACTATAATGCTCAACTGTAATGTTAATAAGGTGTACCCCCGTGAGATCTTAATAGAATGAACTACAATTGTAATAATGCAAATTTAACAGTGCCAACAATGCAATAAAGAGCCTAAGAGTATGGGTTTCCAGACTAACCAAAATTTAAGACAAGTGAAATTTTATAAAGCAATTTCAGGAGAAGGTGCCTTAGGTAATTAGCAATCTCTTGGTACAAAGTAGAGATGGTATAGAGATCCTTACATAAAAGTTCCATTCTACTCAATTAGGATTATGCATATATTAATAAATTTATTATTTATAGTGATTCTTTTGTTAGGCAGACAGTTATGATTGTATACATTAATATCTCAAAGAAAATTAAATAGGCACTCTTATGGTTGTGTAAACAAGGTGAAAAGAAATATTATCCAATAATTTAAGAAACAGGTCTCAGGGAGTTAGCACTGACTCAAAGCAAGTGCAAAGGGGGATTGGAGATCTTTGTGATTAATGAGTCAATGAAATTACTGTTTTGTACTTTATCAAGAACAGCTTCCTGGAGTTTCCTGCTGTTCTTTTTTTTTTTTTTTTTTTTTTTTTTGTTCTGTATTACGTGTACCCTTACACCACTTTGTTTTGTTTTGTGTTTTTCTCTTTTTCCTTTTAAATAAAATTAAAAAAAAGAAAAAAAGAACAGCAGGACTCTCCAAAGCACAGCAAAGCAAAAAGGGTACTTGGGTGCCTTTGTTTAATAGACAAGGCTCTGACAATTGGAACTAAGTATATTAACTGTCCAGCAGAAGATTGGGTTGTGTAAGGCTTTCTGTTGAATCTAAAAGGGGTTTGCACTGGGTTCTAATCCAGTGCACAAAGTATGGACGATTAAACACACACTCAGTACAAAGTTTTAGGTGGTCAACACAGTTCATGAGAATAGATCATTGAGCACTATTCAAAAAATTGAGACTGTTGCAGCAATGACAAAAGAATGGTTTCTCCTACCTTAATGACAAAGGACTGAAAAGATGATGAGTCATATTATGGACTGTACTTTTAGTACTTCTTTGATAGAAGATCTTGATTAACATTTTCTAGCATTAACATATTGAGAATTCTTTGTTATAACATAAGGCCATGGATATCATGTACGCATTACCTGAAAGTGGTGTCTTGGGCAGTCAGCACTGGAGATTCCAAAGCTACAGGCAGATAGGATATCTCGGTCTAACAAGGTGAGCAATGGACAATTTATTTTGGTCTCTGAATCAATGAAGATTGGAATAACTCTAGAAATAGAAGCAGCCATGGGGAGAGGGAGCTGGACCCAGGGCTGGGGCTGGGGCTGGGGCTGGGGCTGGGGCTGGGGCTGGGGCTGGGGCATGGGGAAGGGGCAGCGGCAGGGGCAGGGGGATGGGCATACCTAGGGGGTTTGGGACGGGGCAATTGCTGGGATCAGGGCTGGGGAGGAGCTGGGTGCTAGAAAGGCATGAAATCACTGAAAATTTAAATAAGGTTATTAATACTCCAATATAATAAATTGGAGAACATCAGACCACAGCAATTCATGCTTAATGCCTAACAGGCAGGTCATTAGTCAATTAGTGCAGTATCAAGGATGGGGCCAACAAAGCAAAGCCTGGGCTGGTGTTAACCTTCAGATATTCTTTTACACTCAGTCATTAAGTTAAATGTTTTATTTACTATTTCTGTGCTACAAAATGCTTCTAAAATTTAAAGAGAAATACATTGTCAAGCCAATTTTTAAAAAAATAACCAGCAAAAAATTTTAAATGCCAAATAATGACTTTGACTATATACTGCCAATATAAAGAGATTTATGAAATGAAACTGAAGTTAAAGAATCTGAAATTAAAACTCGTTAATGGCAAGTAAGTGAATTCTATAAATAAAGCTGCTAATCCATTTCTGTAATAGCTCCTTTTTTTTTGGCTTTTTCATTTTTATCGGTACCGGGGATCGAACTCACGACCGCCTGCTTGCAAGGCAGGTGCTTATGCCGCTGAGCTAAATCCCCAGCCCCTATAGCTCCTTAAGATTTAAATTCAAACACTAAGCAAACCAAACAACCTGATACTTGATGGATAGCCAAACAATTAATATAAATCATAATCCAACTCTAGCATTAGCCATGGGTTTAGCATTCCTCTTGAGGAAAGCAGGGGTTCCTCTTTTGCCCCCCATTGGCCAGTCATTATCAGAGATCCATTTATGGTCTCTGCCATGGATTACCACCATGTCCAGATCAGGAAGGTCTTGAACACTGCCCATGGCCACATGCATGTTAGACCAGAGACCAGGAAGGAGCTTTAGGTCAAGGCACCAATACAGAGAATTGGGTGAGGTTTAGCCTATAGGATAGGATTCCAAGAAGCTCTGCTAGAAATGAGAGTTCAAACTTGAGGGAAGGGAGATGTAAAGGATAAATGTCGTTGGAAGGGTCTTGGGTGTGATCCACTAGGAGGGGTATAAAATGTGGCCTTTCCACTTCTGAATGGCTGAATATGGAAACTTGTGAGGAGCCATGTTGGCTCACTCAAATCCTCACAAGGTACTGTCATCAACAGTTTTAATTCTATGTTCTGTTCCAATTGGCCAGGTCCAGTTCCACTCTCACTTCTGATTGGTTAAAACACACAGCAATCCACCATTACCAAGGCAAAATGGGGTGACCTAGGCGGTAACGTCCGCCATCTTTAACAATGGGGCAGATGCACCTTGTGCAAAACCCGCCAAGAGCGTACCAACCAAAACCTGCCATGTTACCCACGTGAGGAGGCGCCATCTTATGAACATTCACAACGTGCGCCACATTGCCCTGAAGCAAAATTCACCATGAAATCAACGTGTCAAAAACAAAGAAAACCCGCCATATTTTACACTACAGCAAGCACTTCGGCCGCCATCCTCTTATTACGTGACCAAAATTATCCGCCACCTTCCTGTACATTAAAACAAAGCCTGACGCATCGGAATGTGGCCTTCCCGCCACTTGAAATTTTGGAGTACTGGATCCGCCATTTTGTGCAATCAACAAAGCACAGAGAGCCATGCTGAGCATGCCGCAAGGTCCAAACCGCCATTTTGAGCCCTTCTCTTAAATCAGCTCTCTGCCGTTTTCACCTAACAGTAAGTACTGATACAGAACACGATCTTGGTTTTCTGCCTCAGATACCACAATTTATGCAAAGCTCCAAAAAATTCCAAACCTACTCATGCAAAACCGTCATGTAACACAAATGACTACCTCGCCTGGCTCACTATCCACTTCACCTCCCTAATTTATACATAGCACAACTAACTAGCACTCAGCGGCGAACCTAAAATGGCGGCCACTTTTTCTCCACAGCCCAACACCCTCTTAAATGCAAAGTCATTCCCTTGACTAAGCCATAGATAAAACTCACACACCACACACAACAAACAGCAACCAAAAAATGCTGACATTCCAGATAACACAATAACCCACGAAAACGACATATTTCCATACATAAAGAGCTTCTACAAGAAATCAAAGAAGTTAAAGCAGGTATCCAAGGCCCCGATGGGCAAAAAAAAAAAATTAGGGCAGGTATCCGAGGCCCCGATGGGCAATGAAAAAAATAATAAAGCAGGTATCCAGGGCCCCGGTGGGCCAAAACAAACAAACAAACACACACATAATTAAAAAAAAAAAAAAAAAAAGCAGGTATCCATTGCCCCGATGGGCCAGAAAATGGAGGGTTAGTGTACCAGCAGGTATCCAGGCCCCGATGGGCTAAGAGGAAAAAAAGAAAAAAGGCAGGTATCCGCAGCCCCGATGGGCAAATAAATTTAAAGCAGGTATCCACGGCCCCGATGGGCAAAATATATAAAATGGAGAAAAAAATTAAGCCACAGGTATCAAACAAATTTCATTCCAAATAAAAATTTTAAAATTAAAAATGTCCCAAAAATATTACCAATATCTGAAAATTGAGACAAATGAGGTGTCAAGAAAAGACAGAATTTTTTTAAATATTTTATGTAATTCTGATTGCTTTTGTTTGCTAAGTACCCTATAAAAGGAGTTAGAGAGCTACAAAATGTCCCGGAAAGAATAACAAATGGAGAGAGACCTACGGTTAGGAAGCTCTTGTCCCCCGGAGAGAAAGAAATATGGCCGCCGAAGAGAACTGCAAGGCTTTAAGAAGTGAGGGGGGAGCTGGAGGCGGAGAACACAGAAGAGGAGTGGCCTAGAAAATTAAAGGTTTGACATCTTCTTGAAGTTTAGACAGTTCAAAATTTACACAATTGCAAAAAATGAAAAATAAAAATAAAAATAAATTAACATGTACAATGAACCCTAGACCGGAAGTAGACTTCATTTTAAGTCTAAGAATCATCACTTACAAAATTTTCATCTATAAAATGGAAACAAGAAACCAAATCGATTAACTGATTCTAAAATTCTCCACAAGCTATATAGCAAATATGAAAGTGTTGATTTTGAGATTATGGGGTGAGGAAAATAGAATTTTGATGTGTTGATGGAAGTAACCTCATTCAACCAGCATTTGTAGCTCTACCACCAAACTTTTGGACCCAAGAAGCTAAGAAACAATAACACATTAAGATTAAGACCATTCTCAAAGGAGTTTCCTTTCCGTTATCTGATACTAGAGGATTATACATTATGAGACAGAAATCCATAAAGGTTAAATGAAGTTCACTAGGTCACATACCATGACTCCAAGTTAGTGTATTTACTTTTTCAACACCTTACCTTGGGTGGCCCCTATTCATGGAGACCAGACCATAAGTATTTAGGATTCAATTGGTAACTAAGGAGGTCTCTAATCGAGAAGTGCTGTTTGTGACCTGTTTCTATTTTTAAAGCTATTAGTCCTTGATCTTTATTATTTCTTCCTCCATGAACAATCAATCATAACAATGGAGCAATCAATCATAACAATGGAGCAATCAATCCTAAAAGCACAATAGTGACTGGTTGGCAGTAACTGGCAACTGGTAAAGCCAAATTACGGTGGGGATGTATCACCCTGAGGCAAGGCCCAGGGTACCATCTCTAACACTTCAGTTTAGGAAAATAAAAAGTAAAAGCTTCCCCCAGGAACCTGATTATTTCATTAAGAAACAATTATCCTCATAACTATTCTTACATTGTTTGAGAAACAACAAAGACTTAGAGGGAGAGGTTAGAAACCAGGTATAATTAGAAAGTCAAAGGATATATTGCAGGCTTGTTCAAATGCAAAGCTTATTTTTTAACCCAAATACCACCAATAAACATGCCCTGGGTGGGGCCACTGATAAATAACAATGTATGCAAATCTCTTCTCAGCCACAAAAGCTACCGCTTAAATACCCTTGTTTTACATTACAAAAGCAATCTGAGGGGGCACATGCCTGTAATTCCATCACTCCCAGAGGCTCAAGCAAAGGAAAGTTCCTCAAATTCTTAAATTCAAGCCTAGCCTGGACAAGTCAGTGACTTAGCAAGACCTGATCTCAAAAAGAAAAAGAAAAAAAAGTTAAAAAAAATAAATAAATAAAAGGACTGAGGATTTGAAGATTTAGCTCAGCAGTGCAAAGGCTCTGGGTTCAGTCCCCAGTACCAGACCAGTACTGGGATTAAAAAAAAAATCTGATTTGTCATTCCAAATAAGGGATATACAGTGGCACATAAAAAGTAGTCATCTGAATGATTAGAGTTATTGTACTTTTTAAAAGGATTACTGTACTTCTAATACATTGTTATCCAATTGAAATTTCTACAGTCATGGAAATGTTTTATATATTTAGACTTTGGAATAGGCAAAATTTTCTTAAAGCTCAAGGAACATTGACTATAAAGGACTGATAAATCTGACACTTTGAAATTAAAACCTTGGGTTTCACAAAAATATCTTCAAAAATGAAGAGACCAAGTTATAAATTGATTATTCTGGGTTTCAGTGGCCAAGCTTTGATTCCAGGAGTGGCAATCAGGCTAGTAGATCACTCTCACTGATTGTCATAGTATATTTTTCATGGAAACTCATGAGATAAGGCCTCTAAAATGTCACTGACTGGCATGATTATCAGAGACACTCACAGTGAACACAGGACCTCTGAGCCACCAAGGTATGCTATTGACTTTAGGCTAAAAGAACAGAAAAACCAAGAATTCTATGTGGTTTCACTGCAGATTCTAAACAGCCATTGCACTGGAAATAGTTACAACATTGTCCTCATTTTATTTTGTTGGACATTAAAAAACAGATAATCAAAAATAATGCACTTAACAAGAGAAATCACAAAGACATGATTTATGGAGTTGAAAAGGAAATGAGGGTGCGTGGACATTATAAAGAATCTTAAGATGAACTGTTCAATAAACATATATGTATCACCTCTCTACCCAGAATTTTAAATTTTCATTGATAAGTCACTGTATCTCAAAGTGTTTATCTAGAATGCTACTGTATTCCTCAAAAATATTTGTCTTAGTACCCTGGAGCAGCCCTGCCTTCTTCAGCAATTTGTCACTTTCAGACTTTACTTAACTCTCAATCCTCTACTTCCTCCCCTTAGCTACCTGGCTTCATTTTCTTTATTGCTTGGCTCCATTTTATAAGACCCTTAGGATCACAGACTTGCAAATTGATAAACTAAAAGGAAAAGTGATTTATTCACAGTCAGTTAGTTACCTAAATTAGATTCAAATGGGGATATACAGGAATATTTGTGTGGCTATGTTTTTAGCTGTGTCACTAATCCTCTACTTTGGGACCCCTAATGCATAGCACACAATAGAAATAAATCAAATATTATTTTTTAAAGGTTTGGATTATCCTAATTCTAGGCTTTTCATTTTGGTAATCTGGATATTCAGACAAGGGAATAAAAACACACACTGCCTGATTTAACCACCAGGTGGTAGTATAAAACTATTAAAAGTACAGTATAGGCAGTCAGAGGAGGCCTGAGGGAGACGAAATCTAAAGAGGAGAAAGTATTCCTCTACAATTTCAGTATCAGAAAAAGAAAAGAACTTGATTTCTTTTAATTTTAGGAGCTCTCTAAAAAATCCCTAGCTTCAAGGCAGTGGATAATTAGAAGTTTATTAATAAGCTTATGTGAATAAATGTTGATGCTTAGATGAAAGGGAGCACTTATTAGCAAAACAGTACAATACTGCTAAAACTTACTAAAGAAGAAGAAATCAGAAACCTTACTCTCATAACTGATAAAGAAATAGAATCAGTGGTTAAAAATCCACTCACAGGATTGACTGAAAGGGAGCACAAGGGAAGGATGATTTTTATCTTAATTGGAGTAGTGATTATACAAGTATACACATTAAAATTCATCAAGTTGTGTACTTGAGATCTGTGTATTTACATAGATTTTTTTTCAATTTACATAAACCAGAAAAAGTAAGAAAAATCTGTTTATAAAAATGTCAGGCCAGGGATATAGCTCAGTGTCGTAAGTACCTGCCTAGCAAGCATGCAAGATCCTGAGTTTGATTCCCCATAACAAAAAAAAAACAGATTTTCAATACAAGTTTATGGACAAGTTCTCTTAAAAGCCAAACACCACATAAATCCAAATATAAAAAAGTTCTTCTAGAGAACTAAAAAGGAAAAGAGCTATCACTTTATTCACTTTAAAAAGTTAATATTATCTTACTACCAAAAAATAGATGATGGTATTATAAATATGAAAAATCATAGGTCCATTTTATGAAGATCCTAATTACAACATTAGCAAATGAAACTAAGAAATGTATTAAAAATATTTACTAGATTATGAATAAGCTGGATTTTCCCGAAGAATAGTAAGGATGGTTTAATATTTTCAAAATTATTAATTTCTATATTCATCTATTAAAAAAGAAAACTACTCAAAAGTTGCCTCAAAAAGAAAGCAATGATTTTCAGTTTCCATTTGTGATGTTAAAGTCATATCAAAATAGGAATGGAAGGAATCTTCCTCAATCCAATAAAGATTATCTACAAAACTTATGTGTTTTACATCCATTGTCGTCAAATTTTACTGATTTATTTAGTAGCCTTTTCTTGAGACAGCATCTTGTTACATAGTCCAAGCTGGCCTCAAACAACAACAAAAAGTACCTATTACTACTAAAAAGCACACTAACAAAACTGAGGAGAGAGAGGAAAATTTTTTAGTTCCAGAATATTGACGTTATACTATTTAAAATATTACATTTTATTGACATATTTAAACTGTGCAGTATTCACAAAAAATTGCAAGAGAGGCAAAGAAACATGAAAGCATGACCCAAATACAGGAAAGAGAAGGTAATAGTTTTTTATTTCTACTTTGTATGATATTCCTTACTCTTTTTTGATTTCTACTTACATGGAATATTTTTTCCATGTTATCATATTTAGTCTCTATGTGTGTCAGTACAAGTGAACTAAGGCTCTTATAGGCAACATATAATTGGATCTTTTATTTTTTAATCATTTCAGCTACTTCTCTTTTGACTGGAAAATTCAACTCATTTAGATTCAAACTATTATTGATAGATAAGGATAAGAATATGGTACTGCCATTTTGGTAATTGCTTTCTGGTTGTTATTTATTTATTTATTCTTAATTTATTGATGCTAGGATTCTATCCCAGGGCCTTGTATATGGTAGACAAATGCTCTACTACTGAGGTATACCTCCAACCTCTTGTGGTTATTTTAAATATTTTTACTGCTTTCTTCTCTTGCTGTTATCCTTTGTGATTTGACTTTTCTGAGGTAGTCTGCTTTCATTCCTTACTTTTTATATTTTATATATTTGCTGTAGGTTTTTACTTTTGATTACCATGCAGCATATATAAAACACCTTTATAATTAAAACAGGCTGTTTTAGGCTAACAACAACTTTACTTTGCATTAAAATCCTATATAAGTTTATTGTCTCTTAGTTTTTCAATATCACAATCTGTGTATTTTTATTTTGTGTATCTTCTAATGAATTTTTATAAGCTATTATTTGGTAATTTTGTCTTATAAGCTTCATGCCAAAAATTGTAAGTGATTTATAAATAACTGCTACAATATTATTTTGAATTTTACAACTTACAGACTTTTATCAGTAAATTTGATACTTTCACATGTTACTAACTAATGTCATTTTTTCTCACTTT